ACTTCCAGGCTGGACGACTGTAATTCATTATTATCAGGATGTCCAAAAAACTCACTGAAAAGCCTTCAGCTACAGAAAATGGAGATTTCCGTTATATGGTAACACCTGCAACTCACGTGACGCCCAGAATTGTACAATATTGATGCTTGAGAGCGCGCGTGTGATGCAAGTATGTGTAGAGTGTTGAGCGCGTGATCAGTGGTGAGAAAAACAACTCACGAAACTTGACCTTTCTTTACTCGTGGCTCACTTGCACTTCTAATCTATTCGTTTGCACACTTACACACACCCAGCTGCTGTTTCCTGTTTTGCTACACTCTGGAGAGCCTCGCCTTTAACGGTCTCCTCTCACAGAGAGCAACAGAAAACTTCATTCAGAAAACTTCGAAAAACTCGAGATTGACTGAACTCAGTTCAAAGTTACCTTGACACTTACCTTTAGATGTGAGAGGTAGCGATGGTCCGCTTGAAGCTGACGCTCCGGTGCGTGTGTGAAAAAGATCAACACACTGCTTCAGAAGCACCGTGTCGAGGCTTGATTCGTTTGGCCAGAGTCACGTGATTAGTGACGTCTGAAGCTTCATTTAGAATGTACTTTTTTTTACTGAACTTTATTGAACACACAATAAGTATTATCGAGAAAAACATCTTATTTTACTGGCACTATATATCATTCATAAAGCACTCATTATTTCATCATTACTTCATTAGTCTGTATTATCTTCAGTTTATCATGTATCATTTATTGTTTATTTCAGAGCACGTAGGATAAAACCCATTCTAGATGTAATACTCTATCATGTGGCGAAAGCACCTCTCGAGCTAGAGGGTCCAGTTGGGCCTCCTGCAGTCACTTGCAGGCTTACACAAACATGCACATACAGAGTTATGTAAAACACGCACGTTCACATACACACTTAATAAGAACAGAAAGGTCGTCTTAGGACATGCTCCCTGTTGGACATACACTCACAAAATACACACTCATGAACACACTATTGGTTAAGTTCCCAGAAAGCCGGAGTGGAAACATCTGGAAAATGTTGTTGTTCTTAGCCATAGAAGGACATAGAAGTGAGAACTGACTGATACTTATCATGTGACTTGACGTCATCATTGCAATAAAAACCTTGTGAAGAGACTGTTCGGGGGAGATCGGCTCTTAAAGGCTTGTGATGCTCATCTTCCCCATATGTACATATGTATAATAAAAATCACTATTTTGACATCTACTGAGAGACCATGCAGTCGTTTGTCTCCTCCTCAAAAACTCGAATCTTGACAGTATACAACATACAAACAGATGAAGTTTAAGAAAGAACAGAACATGAACATACAAATCAGGGGTAAAAAAAATTATTATATGAGTACGCGCAAAAATCAACATATATAAATATTGTTCCTTTTTGTTGGTTGAGTCTGATATTGATTGTATGTACTATTCCATATCCTTATAAAAAGGCAGAAATATGGTGTTTTATTAATAAACTTACATTTATGGATAGAAAATTTAGTTACCTTCAAAATTACAGTGGTCCCTCGCTAATAACGCGGTTCACCTTTCACCTCGCTGTTTCACAGATTTTTTTAGTGCAAGTTTGCACGTTTTTTTACGTCACATTGTGTCCTGCGTCCTGATCACTGCAGACGATCTCCTCCGTGACGTCTCTCCTGTACAGAACAGAATTGCTGCATCGATCACCATGGGCTGGACGGATTTGATTTGCATTCTTCAAGAAGAGTGTGGTGTCATCAGCTAGCTGGCTGATGATGAGCTCCTTATCAGCTGTGCTGATTCCTTGTATAACAGGTCAAATCTCGGGGTGGAGTCTTAATCATTTTAATTGAGCTATTGCCATTCGTGTGCAAGGTTTTGAAGCTTTACAGAAAAATGCTAAATTTTTCCAAAGAGTGGAAAATAAATTGATGTTCAATTGTATCAAAAGCCTTTTAAAAATCCAGGAAGAGAATGAAGCTATTGTCAGATACCAAATCAGAGTAATCAAGTAGATCCAAAACCAGTCTAATGTTATTAGAAATGTGTCTATTTCTCATAAAGCCTGATTGTGTCTCATCGATAATTGTATCCAAGAACTCTTTAATTCTGTTAGCAAGTACTAAAGCCATAATCTCATAGTCATTATTGAGCAGACAGATGGGTCTCCAATTATCAATAAGAAGTAAGTCTTTGTTTGGCTTTGGAATAAGTGTTATGAGACCCTGAGTAAGAGTAGGAGGGAGGATGTTATTCTCTACACTTTCTATGAAAAGCTGCAGTAAGAACGGAGCCAGGAGATTAGAAAATGATTCATAAAACTCTGCAGTTAAACCATCTGTGCCAGGAGATTTGTTGGCCTTAAGTGCAGAAATAGAATTACAAACGTCCTCCACAGTCAGAGGGCTGTCACAGTGACTTCTATCTTCCACAACAATAGTTTTTAGGTTTTTAATATTATTGAGAAACAGTGTTGAGACATCCTCATTATATTTTGAGTTGTACAGTTTAGTATAGAATTTGGCACAGAAATGTGAAATTTCTCTAGGATTGTCAGAAACAATGCCATTAATATTTAGTTGATTTTGGATCTGTATTTTTCAAGCCTGAAAAAGCAGAATTTTGTTCTCCCTCCTCCAGCCACCTCTTCCTGGATCTTACAAAAGCACCCTCAGCCTTGCATCGATATAAACCGTCCAATTTATTTTGAAGGTCTAGTAAAGTTAATTTATCTTCCTCTGAGATTTCTTCTGGGGAATTCTGGTAATAAGAGGCAATTTTGCTGATCACTTCTTCCTCTTCAGCTTTCCTTGATTTAATAATTTGACTCCCATATCTTCTCAAGAATTTACATGCTTCAAATTTAAAAAGTTCCCAATTGGTACAAAAGGACTTCTCTGTGTTAGCTTTATTCCATAATGAGCCATTAATTTATTAATCTGCGTTCTAACCATTTTATCTTTTAGTACGGAGTTATTCATTATTTCTTCTAAGGAGTCAAGTAATTTATCATTTTCAGATTTATTATTGTAACCATATATATTTGTTGTTTGCAAAACTTTTGCATATGATTTTAAAATTGTCAATTAATATTTGCATTTAAAATTATGAAATGTGATTCATTAAACATGTTTGTGGTTGTTACAGTAAAATATATAACTTTTTCTACTCAGATTTTATGTTTTTGTCTGATTTTAGATCAATTGTGTTAGTACATTATGTCAAAATGAAAACATGACTGTAAATTCAGACATGTGGGGTTGTGCTGAAAAGAATGATGCCAAACAAGGCAAAGTAAATCGTTTGTAAAGGTGAAATATGGAGGTAAAATCAAAAGTAGTTAAAAATGGCCAATTATCTCCTGGAGCCCAGAGGGTTAAACGTATTTTAAAGTAACACAATAGTTACTCTTCAAGTAATTCATTACTTTCAGAATCTTGTAACTCAGTTACTAACTAAGTGACTTATTTGAAGAAGTATCTAGTAACTATAATTAATTACTTTTTCAAAATAACTCGCCAACACTGTTTATAAGAAAGTGAATCATTCGCAGGATTTGTGGAGCGTTCTGATGGTGAGAGATAGCAAACCACAGATCGTTCTATTGAGAGATATGGAGCCTGAGAGGCAGAGGAGAGGTTCTGTCATGTGGGAGTATTTTTGGTAGATTTTGGTCAGTTTTGGTTGGGTTTGCCAGTTTTGTGTTCTTGTTATTTGTTTTTT